GTTTACGTCAAACATGTATATAGTATATATAACATTGGCAACAACATAGTGCGACATTTAAATTCACCTGATGAGTGTGGCAAGCATTGCTCGTCATACAAAACAAGTTTGTAGTGAATAAATCTTATGAAGTAAACCAGGTCTATTTTATATTAGTATAATTACATAGGTGATTATTGAAAATTCTCCACGCTGATTGGTTCCCGTTGAGGTGATTATTACGCGATAATCACCTAAGCGATTTTCAAAATGGCGGCCGAAGCCGTTTTGTCAATTAAAAGACGAATAAATGTGCATTTTTTATTTTTTCCCAAATAATCACCCATGAAATTATACTAAAACAATTATTCACCTCAGGCTCGGTGATTATCGTGAATAAAAACCTCGACTTCGTCTCGGTTTTTATTCACCGATAATCACCTCACCTTCGGCGAATAATTGTTAATTATTACAGGTCTATTCTATGGTAAGGTTTCTTGCAGGACGAATCCACTTCCGTCTTGTTTGCAGACTATTGAGAAATTGTTTCCTCCATCTAAACTAAAATTCGTTACAAAGGTATTGCATCCGTCTCCACCACTTTCGTGAGTACAATTCAGCACCTTGAAATTTCCTAGAAGGTGGTAGTATTAATATACGTGGTCTCATAGTGACGAGATGATTCGGCGTCAGTCGCTCTCGTGCATCTGCTGAACACAAATTATCTGTTGTCAGTGGGCGCGAGTTAACGATATTTTCCACTTCGGTCATGAAGGTTCTGAATGCTTCATCGTTGAGTTGACTGCCAGCGTTGTTGAGGAGAACTTCTGGGGCTCTGCGCACTGTTCTTATTAAACTTTCCCAAACGCCGCCCATATGGCTTAAGTGAGCTACGTTCATGTTGAGGGGATCCATTCACATCCGTTCTCTACAAGATATCGGTCTACCTGCTGTCGGCCAATTTCGTCAAGGGTCGATTTCAGCTCATATCTGGCGCCCACAAAATGTGTCCCTTGATCACATCGAATCTGCCGTATCGGACCACGTCGACTCAAAAAACGTTTTAGGGCGTTAATGAAGGAACCTGTGTCGAGGGATTTGGCAATCTCTAGATGCACGCTCCTAGAGACACGTGAAGATGACTCCATAGCGTTTTACTTCGCTTCTTTTTTCTCTGGTTAGGAAGGGGCCAAAATAATCGACGGCGCAGTATGAAAAAGGTGGTTCCGGTTGCAGTTAGTCCCCTGGAAGTTCGGCCATCTTCTGCTTCTGTAATTTCCCTCGGAGCTCCTGCATGTCAAATTTTGGTTATGTAACTAGACACAGCTGAGGACTCACCAATTATCCAGTGACCATGTTGCCGTATTTCGTTATGCGTAATTCCTCGTCCTATGTGGTTCATCTTGCGATGAAAAAAAACGAATCAAGAGTTCAATAATGTGACCCTTTCAAGGAACTGTCAACGAGTGCTTCAACTCTGTCGGTATATTGGCTCGCTTGATTCTTCCTCCAACTTGAAGAAGACCAAGGTCGACCGCTAGATAAGGGTTTAAGCGGTAAAATGAGCTGTGGTACTTAATGGACTTGTTTCTTCCTTTCGTCGCCTGTCGATCTGTCACCGCCTTTCTCGCGAACTTCCTTATAATTTCGAGCTCATAGTGGAAACGCTGCGCTTCAAGTGATATAATTACAGCCTTCGTTGCCATTTGCGTTTCTTGTACGGTCAATACGGCTCTTTCCCGCAAATCGCTCTTCTCTTTTCTCTTCAGGTTTCTCGGTCAGCTTCGCCTTCAGCGTCAAGCACAACCCGACAACTCTCATAGCAAGCACCCAGCTTAAAAAGTACTTTAATCGGCCGGTCTCAAAATACTCTGTAAATTAACCATTTTTCTCCGTTACGTGAGTGGTGAAGATCGTTGTTTGGGTCAGCGCGTCCAGTCTAGCAGATTCAGCAGGTTTGGAAACGAAGACACCATCTTCCCATAGAAATCTTGCGTCTATCAATCAACGAGAGTGGTTTACCATGTGGTTGACAGTTAGTTTGCGCGATGCGTCGTCTGCCAGGTTAGTTTCTGTTTCCACATACTGCCAAGAATTCGGATCGGATCTGTCACGTATTTACTGGACCCTATTCGCTACGAATACTTGAAATCTCTTCGCGTCACTGTTGACATAGCCAAGCATGATCTTGCTATCCGTCCAAAAGAATTCTGCTATGTTCTCAAAGGAGAGTTCGGTTTTCAGGAATTCACTCATCTTAGCAGAATCTGTTGCTGCCGTTAGTTCCAGCCTGTGCATCGTTACCAGCTTGATAGGTGTTACTTGAGCCTTTCCAATTACCAAAGCACAATGTGCTTTGCCTTGCTCGTTCACTTGTTTCAGGTATGAAAACTGACCGTAGCCTCCTTCACTGGCGCCGGCGTCAGAAAAATGATGCAATTCTCTTCTTTCGACCTTGCCAAAGAACCTTGGCTTGATGGATTGGAAGATTTGAAGTTGACCCAAGTTCTGCAGAATCTCCCTTCGCCATTTTTCTCATGCTGAATGTAGGTTATCGGGAATTGGGCTGTCTCACCCTAATCCTTCCTTGCACATTTGCCGGAGGATTTGCTTTCTCTTCAGCATCACCGGCGCGACAAATGGATTGGGATCATAGATTGAGCTCACGACAAGATGCCACGACGGGTGAACAGTCGATCCTGGAAGCTGTCATTAGGCAAGCACCAGGTTATCCCCAAAGCAATTTCTACAGGCAGTGGATCTGTTTCTAGATTTATATCGTTAACTCCTTTGGCTCTTTCTTCTACGGGGATCGCTTCAATGACTTCGTTCTCGTTGGACGTTATCTTATGGAGTTTCAGTCCTGCGTTGGCACTCACGCCTTGGGTGGTATTTATCAGCGAGATCATCTCTTGAGCGGTAGGTATAGACTTCATTCCATCGTCTACATAAAAATCTTTGTGAATAAACGCCGCCGCAGTTGGCACAGCGTGGTGAACTTCCTGCATACGTCCGAAGAGGTGAACCTTCCTACGATACTCAACAAGAGGTGAACTCCCTGCATACGTCCGGAGAGGTGAACCTCCGAAAAAGTGAACGTCCGAAGAGGTGAACCTTCCTACTATACTCAACAACGACCTTTGTTGTGTTACCATCCTCCCGGCGATGGAATCGCAGTAGATCTCTGAATTATTCAGCAACATAGAACTGGTGGAACATCGACTTGCATGATGTCGGCCATCATAGCCACTAGTCTAGGACCTGTAGAAATGTTTGTATGCGTTTCATTTAGCACAGGTAATCTCAAATGTTTTAGGGTAAAATGACCATGGCTGTCAACATGGCATATGTGCCAAAACCTGAATCCGGGGCGAAAGTCCTGAAAATGACCCCGCCCTGAAACGGCAGTGCCGACATAGCTCCAACTTCCGAAAACGAAAAGCGACAGCCTTTCTGAAGTGTTTATGGTGTTTAGAAGGGTTGCTTTTAGGGGTGGTCATTGGAAGGAAAAATTTGTCTAAGTATAATATTTGACAAAAAAATGTCTATGCACCACCCCAGGTAAATTGCTAATTATGATTAAAATAACTAATATGCCTGGCAGAAATTAAATGTTCTTATTTCCTAAAAAAAATTATCATGGGATGGAAAACTATGCTTAATTTAATATCATTATTGCAGTTTTCATAAGGATTGTCATTGTTTTCTTTAAATATAATACATTTTATTTCACTCACCCCCCACGAAAACACGATTTCATACATATTTTGCCGTCTTGTTTGCTTTTTATCGCCGAGTCTCGCAAATATCATCCAGTTGTTGTACTTTTACATAATGATAAATGACTAAAGAAGATTTCAACCAAGGTTCATCAAATTTTGAAGCAGTGCACTATATTTTATCTTCGTTATTGTGTCCTTCGATATTTCGTTTAATGGCTCGCCGCTTGTCTGCCCGATAAATGCCACTTCATTGTAGAATAGTCCCAATCGAAAAATTGACAACATTAGTCCCATTTGGAAGGAAAAACCCTCCCGTAAACCATTTAAGTTTAAAATAAAAAACAAATCATTTGAAAGTCACGGGCAATCTTCGCGAAAACTTCCCTTGGACACATTACAGGGGGGGGGGGGGGGGGGGTTTTTTCCC